GTATCAAATTTCAGGTCCCTATCTTTATTTTGTTGACTGCAGCCGTTCCGCAAAATTTTTTGAGTTAAACTGACCCGTTACAGTAGAAATTTGCATACGTCGTAGGCATATCAAAAATTAGATCAGATAGAGAAAAATATGTTACGCTTTATAACCATTTCTAAGCTCAAAAGTCCAAGAAGGTCATATCGACCTACGTGGTAGTTCTAGTAGTATATATCAATAGCAGCAAAAGTTTTAAAGAGTGCCATATCTCAAAAAGGAAATTCGCGCTGCTCTTGAACTGCTGACTTATAACTTTTGTCGTGATTACCTGTGATATGGCGACCCAGTCAGCGAAAGAGGAGATGGTCTCTTGGTGCATATCACAATGTGCTTGAAACGGCTCAGTTCATGGTGACCCATCTTTCGCTATTGTATTGTTCTTCTTTTACATTCGCAAGCACAACAATGCATAGTGAGAACTGCTTACATAAGTTAACATTTGTATTGATAGAACAACATACCATTATTGAATAATTCATTTACTTTGCATATTGCAGTTTATACGTAAAAACTTACGTATTTACATACATATGTTTATATTTTGGATACTTTTGCAAAATAGTGTAAAATGGAAATGAATTAAAAATAGAGAAGGAAGATATGATTCAGTTTAAATCGATCATGTAGAGACGCTTCAAATAAATCAAATTAAAATTCATGAGAAACACTGCGGACAAATTCGTGAACCGGATGTCCCGTTTACACGCAAAAGAGAAAATAAACACAATGTCATCCCTAAGCTCTTCACTTGTCTAAGCGCTGCCTTAAGAGTTGAAAAATTCCCAGAAACACCAGACAAGCATAAGTAACAAATATTCCTCAAGGATCTCAATGCATTATATTTTTGTTTATGAGAATATACTGTGTATGAGAAGAAGCAAAACAAATCACAAAGGATATCTTGTCCCGTGGTGTTAGTTTATTAACGATAAAATTTCAAATTCAAAAGCATTATTGAAAATAAATCGCAATTTACCACAAGCCGTGCTACAAATAAACATATAATTGAAAATGTTATTTGGGTACAACGATATAACAAAGAACAAATAAATGCAAATGATGTACACAATATAGTTGCAGTACGTTTGAGCCAGAGGTCGACAACGCTACGCCCGCGGCCAGCATTTTTTAGTACGTGCCGTTCTGTGGTTGTTCAAAAAACTAAAATAAATTCAAGCTAAAATGTTAGAGGTTGGCAACGCCAACCCATAAAAACCTTACACCATTGCCCCACTCCCAAAAACAAAGTGATTACTGCGGAATAGGTCGATGAGGCAAGGCCGGTCATTGAACACGTTACGGCACTACGCTTAACAAAATTTTTCATTTGTATTCAGAATAAAATACCAAAAATCAGGTTTTGCATCCATATAAGAGCCGTTGGTGGTTTCATGATTTCATGGTAGACATATCTAATCCAAATTTGGTACAGATCATTTTAAGATTAATTTCTTTTAGTAGATCGAATTTTACCATAACATAAGAATTGTGTATATATGGGGAAGGACCGGGACTACCAAGTCAGTGTTTGCGGGTGAAAATCTTAAGTGCGGCAGAGTTTTCTTTAGTCGCAGCTATACTGTGTGGTCAGCCAATAGCACCTGTCAGTTAGGCACAAACCCTCTGGTAGCTGTGGCCACCATCTCCCTATTGCTTTCTCTTTCGTTTCTTAGGGGACAAATATGATGTTTAATATTCGGCCTTAGCCGACTAACGGTTCGATTTGTTTTCTCTGTCAACTAAGAACTAGCTAATGAATTGCTTCAAGTACTTACTTGGTTACTTTCTCTGCCAATAAAGTAGTAACTACTAGAGTAATAAGTACTTACGTTCTCTGTCTATTGCAGCTAAATGCAAAACAGCAACATATACTCATTTTATTTTTCTTGACTAATATCTGGCTGCTGAACAGCAAGAAAGTACTCACAATTAAAAAGCAACAAATGCTTTCCTTTTCTCTCTCTCCCTCTCTCTTCCTCTCTCTCCTGCGAAGTACTCGTCGCTAAACGACAATACTATGTAAAAACTTCTTCTGGACTAGGATGCGAATTGGTTCCAATTATTTTATTGAGACTCTTATAATAATGAATTAGAGTTGTTTCTAACCCCAGAGTTAGGGTTCCGCCAAGCAAACAATAGCAATAAGAATGTATCAATTAATTCGAAGTAAACTTTCCGATCCTAAAAAATTTCAGTTGACATCCTAGAAACATTGTAAAGGTAGTACGAAAATGTTTTGTGGGCAAGAGTTAAAATTATGATTAGTAGATTATTTCATAACATAGTTTGAGGATTCGAATTCAAATTTAAATGAAAATCTAATGTTGGAAGTAGGAGCTCTGACTTGGAATTATAATTTGGAGTTGGAATTTTGAACAATACACGAGTTTTTGTTATTCTTATGCGACCAGGCAATCAAGAAGTGCTTTGTATATCACAACCAAGATCATGAGCTAGGAGCTGGAAAAGAGAGGAATAGAGCTTGTGTGCTTTCGTGTTGACATCGAAATCACATAAGGATCCCTGCGAAAGACCTTTGTTGGTGGATTGGCCGAAAGGCAGGCTGTAGGAGAATATACCGGCAACTCGTAGCAGAGTTTTCATGCGATATGATCGAGTGGGTGGGAACTCTGGAAGAGCCGAGTAATCCTGTTGAAATTTATTTTATCTATGAAGGATATTTGCATTGCACGTACCTAGCCATAAGAGCAGTACAGCTCATATTATACGACTCGGGATGTCAATCGTCATGCGGCACTTATTTTATAATTCGGTGCTGCAATGTTTTTTATTGTTGCTGTCAACTGCAAATAATGAATAAATAGGGTTTCCTGTCACCTAGAATAGATCTTTAATGAACATAAAGAAAGCACACGCAGAAATAATAGGTACGGAATTGGAAGCGTTATAGAGACAACAAATTGGACACGAATTCTAACTGGGAAATACAACACTTACTAATGCAGGAGCTAGTGATTATTATTTCTTAGTACTTAGTATCTACAATTGCTTAGCACTTAGTCTACATTGTTACTGTTAATGGAGTAATATCTTAGCTGAGGATATTTGCCGACTCCTTTATCCAAATTTACTCCCAAATTAGAAGTTTTTTTTGATTTTTGAATTTTATTTGGCTTAAGTTTTGCACACTGATACGCGATTTCCGTTCCACAAGCGAGTACAAGGGCGAGGATAATTCTAAATTTACTTTTGAACGTTACGAACAGAATGGCAGACGTAATACACTTTATCCCTCGCGGATGGATATAAATAAAAAAAGAAAAAAAACAGGGGAAAAATTAGTCTGGCGCCGAATTCGTGGTTGACTTAACGGATTTTCATTAGAGTGTGTGCACACGACAAATGCGCTTATGTATGATTTTAAGAGAAAAGGAACAATACACTGATAGCGGGTAACGGTGATGGTGACAAATTAAGGCTAAACAAAGAGGCGTAATGTGTATATGTAGCGGGAACAATGACGATGATGATAATGATGATGCTGATCAAAATAAACAAGTAACCATAGCTATATTTAAAGAGCGTGTATTAAAGGAACAAAGCACGCACTGATGTACACGCAGAGAAATGTAACAATTCGATGTTGATGAAATTTATTAATTTCATGTCGCGTTTTTTCTTTTGAAATTTGATATTTTATTCAGTGTAATTTATGTAATTCTTTACATGCGCATACATGCATACTGTAAGCACTTCGATACATTACGATGTCAAACAAAAAGCCTTTAGTATTGTATTAGTTGTCTGAGTATAGGTGACATGTCACGACATCAATGACGCCATAAAGTTAGGCGCCAAAGTAACTGCATGCTGTCAATTGGATGCTCATGCAGAGCTTTATAATATAACAGTAACAACCACAACAACAATAACCGTTAAAGAAGCATTAACATTAATGTAAATGTTCTTTGAGTGTAAAGAACGTAAACGAACATATTTTACGAAAGGATTAAAAATTTGCTTTTAAAAAGTAAAAAAATTGAAAAGGACTTATATTTGGCCAGCTATATGAAGGACATGGAAATGAATGAGTCTTGAACCGTCAACGTTTCAATGCGTTTGCATATAAATAATAATGATGTCTAAAATGGCTTTGTAAGAGAGCGTAAGCGAGAGAGAAAGAGAGAGAGAGAGATAGAGAGAGAGAAGGGGTTACAATCTTCACAACCCTTACTGACATACTGACAGTTCGTTTACAATAACTGTTGCGGCACATGCAAGTATTCCCATTTATCGTAGAAAAAGTCGACCAGCAGGGCCTGCTAACGATCTTTCTCTAATTGCCTAAAACTAACTTGCAATGGAAATTATCGTTGGCGGGGTTTATAAATTTAAGACGTCTTCTCGTGTTATGATCGTTTTTCTGCAGTTCTTAACTTTGCATAGTTCTGTCCAAAACAAAAAATTTCGTAATCAATGAAGACGTCCTAAGATCGAAACATCCTTTCATCTTCTTACGTCTGCCGATGTGAATATCATAAACTCTTCAGCCCAACTATTTTGATAATGCAATAAAATTTAATAAGGAAGATTTAATGAACGTATGTGGGACTTTGAAGAACTGAAACCTAATCCCATATGAATCAAAGCCACTTGCTTGCTTGAACCAAGTGCTTACATATTCTAGTTAAATTGTTGAAAGTATTTTTGCAAAATAATTGATTAAAAGAACAAAAATGTTAAATAATTTTAATTTTTCGCTTACCACATAATCAAATCAAAAGCTAAAGCAAGTGCGTACTTGTGTTTACTTCCTTTAGTTAGAGATTGATTTTTTCTCTAAAAAGGACAATAATTAAAAGTTATATTAGCGTTGATTTGATTAGAAGCAATGTTTTTTATTCCGTTCAATTGATTTTTTAAACAACAAAGAAACAAAGTGTTTATAAAACGTGCGTAAATTGTTCATTATCTGCAGACAAGCAAACAAATTATTAATCCTTTCGCAACTGTAGTTCACGTACTTCGCACCCATCTTGAGTAATGATATCAATGGCAACAGTATCACCCGTGTATATATCGCGTTCTGCTGCCGATATGAATGCATCGCTCACTATGCGTACGGCTCTTTCCTTATTAAATTCGACAAAAGGGCTGCACTTTTGCGGTACGGTATTTTTCATGCCGAGCTGACTGTCTAAAACCGGCTGTAAAAGAGATCCCGCCGAACCCGAAGCCTTATACATGGATTTCTCACAATGGCCTATAGGATCATATGAGTAAACAACTCCTTTGCTTTCAATATCTAGGCCAACCAATATATTCGATACATAATAGGGAAAGAAGCGTCGATTATACATCAGAATTGATAACATGTGCGCTGCGGCCTCGGTGGGCATGATTTTCATATGCTCTTGTTCATACATTTTCATGCGAATTTGAACTAACGAAGTAAGAGCCAAGGTATCGCTCCAGCATCCAGTCGAACCAAGGACAGTTTCAGTTGTTAGTGGAAATAATTTGTTTTGATTACGTGTGTGAATAGTATAATCACTGCTTAGACGGGTATCGGCAGCAATAACCGCAAAGCCATCCCCAGCTACTGCTACTATTGAGCCGCCATTGGATTCATAAGGTTGGAAATCGTAGCGTTTAACATCGGGAATTTGTATCTTCGAGGACTGGTTGTTATATGAAATATCCATAATTTCTTATTTCTGCTTTCTATCTATTTTTAAACCCTTTTCTTAAAAGCAATTCTTTTTCTATTGCAATAAATTCAAGTACTGCTTAGTTTTTGTTTTAACTGAGAAAAAGAACACAAAAAAATATTGAAATTACTTTACTAGCGTCAAACCTAAATTCAATTTCGTAGTTTAACGTAACAAGGAAATAAGTTTATTTATCCGTAAATGAAACGATTATTTGAGTTGTATTTCGATAAAAATATAACGAATTGCTCTTTAAAAGGGCGTAGTTTTGTTGCGCATTCAAATTTTGAGCCGGAAGAGCTCACTCTACATACAACTTTAGAAGATGATCATTTAGCTAGACATTGAGGTCCCAGAAAACTTTCTCTCTCTCTCTCTCTCTCTCTCTCTCTCTCTCTCTTCGTATCTTTCTCTCCCTTTCCAAGTCTATTGACCATCAATTTACTTCCATGCAATATGGAAATCGGTCTTACTAGATTACCCAGGAAATACTTTCGATAGCACTTTGTGCATAAACATCCTTAAGGTGATAAGTTCCGATAAGATATTAATTTTCTTCAGAAAGAACAGAACAAAATTAGTCATTAAAGACATATTAATGCCCTGCATGATAACTTGCCCTGAAATGTAGTCATTTGATCTCGCAATATGAAGGCAAAAGCAAAACGAATCAGAAAATATCGTTGGATATAAGCTTTCGAGCGCTTTTTTTACGTCAATATTCTGCACTTTTTTCTCTTCGTTTCGTCCTTACGAAAACAAGGAAATATAAAGCAATCGATAGCGGTATTAAAAAGGAGTAACTTTGGTCAACACTTTCCTTTGGATGTTATGGTCTCGTAGTCTTAGAACTTTTTTTTGCAAAGCTTATCGGTGCGTAAAATGTATTATTTATGTTATATGCGAAATTTTGCCTGAAAAGATTTTGCTCGCGAAAAGCAAGGTTTATGGGCTATGTTATGATTATACGCTGGATACAAACCTATGCTAGAGTAGACCTTTCTTGGGCAAAATCTGCAGAAATATCATCGGCAGAACACATAAAAGAATTCTTGTCTTTCCTTAAATTCGATTCATTAAATTTGGGGGAAAAAATTTGAAAAATGCCGAAATTGATTAATGAAATCACTTTTAATCAGAGTTCAGGATTGGAGTGAGCATTTTGCGCCAAATACCGGACCTTTGACTTTGAAAGACTGATTAAATTAATTACAATAATTCTCACCATTATTTAATTAGATCCCTATTAAGATCTTTTTGATTATTCAGATAGCTCTTCCATGCATGCTTTATGCAAATTTTTATGGGTTAAATAAAATCAGCTCTAGTTATGCATGTTTAGGCCCTACAGCACTTGTGCAACAACATATAGAAAGATTTGAGATAGACCAGTCTCTTATTATGCCGATCGGTTCACAATCGCTTTTTTAATCGGTCTAAGTTTGTCTGTCTATATGTCTGATGCCTGTCCATATATTCCTGTGTGCAGCCTATAGATCATAATTTTCGAGATATTTTGATGCGATCCGGTATTTTGACGTGTTTTGGCTCAAGAACGAAGGCTACTGAAAGTGGTTCGGATTGGCCCACTTTTTCGATCACATTCCATCTTACACCTTTCTTTGAAAAGTCGTTATACGAATCCTTGTAAGCTTGTGTAGGATATTTAGTGATGGACCACGATCCCCTACAGCCGTTTTTACTTATTTTAGATTGCATGATCTTTCAGCATGAATTTCAGGTTAAGTTTTTTGCTCCGATTTCGGGTATATTGAAATTGCTTATAGTTATAAAAGGCAAAGAGCAGCATTTGTATCAAGTTTTTCTAAAATGTTATAAAATTAAAATTGAATTAATTTTAATTTTTATATATGAATGCTGTAAAGCGATTGAATGGCGGGATGAATTGGAATTTGTGCAAAGTAAGTAATTTTTGATAGGAAGTGAAGCGCAAACTCGGGAGTCGATGTAAAACCAAATTAAATTTTATTATAAACATCCTTTTCGAAATTCCTGCATGCACTGATTGCTTTAGAAGTAAATTGTTGGAGGAATAACCCGACAACCACTTCCTAATTTATATTTCAATTTTTTTTGTTTTTTTTTCCTATGAATTATAAGAGTTTTTTTGTATGTGCTTTTTTTTTTTTTTTTTGTCAAGTGTTGACTTACACACTTCTGGAAGAGAGTGAAATGTGTAGAGAAAAAGCGACCAGCAATAGCGACCTATAAGTAATAAGACAACATACTTCAATGCTTTTGTGATATAAAATGCGGGCCATTATAGTATCTATCTATATTGTGTATGCACATACAAGCGAACAATGTGGTACAAATAAAAATTTTCACTGTGACACAAAAGCGAAACGAAAGGATAAAATAACTAAACCATAAAGTTCTGCAGCTTGAAACATTTTTGTGCGACACACACAGTATTAGTCAACACAGTAGCAACTATTGATGTGCTTATAAATATATGGTATATGGGTATGTGGGTGTGTCTGCTTGCCGCTGCTATGTTTGGATATGTGCACGTTTATAAGGCACTGCACATAGCGCACAGTAATAATGGGTGAACAACGATGACAGCGTATTTGCTGTAATATAATAACAAGGGTTGGAAATATGGAGCGAGAGAGAGTTTTAAGAGTGTTGGCGTTTCGTATAAATCTATATATGTATATATCCACTAATGCTGGTCATATATATTAGTTAGTGTATGTGCATGTATGTAGATATATATGTATGTATAGATATGTATGTATGTAGGTATGCAAGTATGTGTGTGTGTGTGTGTGTTTATGTAAACGTATGTTTGTAGCTATACGATAAGAGCATAGTGTAGCACACAGTGTATATGGTTATAATAACATAATAATGTTTATCGTCTTTGAACTCTAGTGTTTCCAGTTAATTTATATTCATAAGCCAAATTGGTGTACAATTACTGAAACAACAGCAACAACAATGACAACTAGAGCAACTAGAAAAAAAAAAAGAAAAAAGATTGGCGTTTTTAGAAACTGCTAACATATACAATTAACTTTTAGTGCAGAGGGACTATCCTTTTATTTTGTTTGTCTTTTTTATTAATACACATTCTATCGAGGGAATAGCTTTAACTTATGAATAGAGTGTCGTATCTCTTTGGAATACACGAATTTAAATATGTTCATCATGAAATCGAATCGCAGAGTGCGTTATATAAGTACATACGCTAATATGCAAGTTTGAGCGAATCTATACCCAAATTGAAAATTGAAAATTGAACGAGCGATTTCGAATATTTTCGAAATCTAGGTTAATCAAAATCATTGAATTCTTAAATATTTCACATATTTCTCGACATAAATTAAATTTTAGCTATGCGTACATTGATCAATTGATTTAGAACTTATTTGAAATCTGCATTAATCTATACGCGTAAACTATTGATGTTACCATATCGGCTATGCGAACAAGTATCCGGCTTTTCCAAGAGAGAGTGTATATACGATTGTAGTATACTGAGTTAAATTGTGACCTCTTTATTTGAAAGTAGTATCTTTAGGCTGCATATCTGCATAAATTCTCACACATAACATAGTCTCTAGGGGCTTTGAACAGGTGTAGATGTGGGACAAAAAAAAAAACCACTAACAGGAAACTATGCTCTTTCCTGTTTAATTTAAAAGGCAACATTGCTAAATCTTTGCGAGTAATAAGCAGAGGCCTGGCGTCCTTATTAGAGGAGTCAACTGGGCGTGGTTTATCCCAAGCAAGCGAAACATAACTCATGCAATTGGGACGAAAAACGTGAGGAATATGGCAAAAATTGTGATGTCGTTGGTCTACAGTGAGGTTCTCGTTCTTTATATATCAAAACCCGTTCAGGAAAAGTTTGTATTTTTAACTGGAATGTCCAGTCTTCCCTGCTGTTGTTAACTTTTATTCTTGCGAGTAACACGTCTTTATATAGACGGGTAGTTGTTTGTTCAAGCAGCGCTTGCATCCTATCCTTAGAACGATACCGAAATGTGGATTCTTTTGTAGATAGCCTTAAGAGAACAATTGTTCGTTTTGCAGCTTTGTCTAAAAGATGACACAAGTAATGCCTATTATTGGAAAATATTTCAAACAGAGTAAGTGTTACCGTTTCCCCATTTGCACCTCTGAAATACTTATTCTAGCCTAATAGTCTTTAGCAGTAGTCCTTAGCATTTTCGGTATTAAGCGCACAGCAAAGAGAGCATTATTCACAAACGAAGGAAATCTTCGGAAATTTTTATTATTCAATTTTACAAAAAACAAAAGGACATGGCATGTCGAGAGAAAAGTTCGTGTCATTCTTTTGCTAAAATATCAAATACAATTTTCTTATGAACACATATCGCATTTATTTATTTGTTTATTGTCTATACGTTTCGTAAGTAAATTTAGAAAGTGTGGATTTGAAAGCTGGCGAACAAATTACGCTCGAAATTTCAACATGTGGCCATTGAGTAATTAGTTGAGATTCTTTGCCTATTTGACTACGCATGCATATATATACATATATGTCATATTTTCGTCATTGGTTGCTTATTGCTTCGGCTTTGTTGCTTATTTTGCGGTAAACCCGTAATGGCATTATTAGCGGAATTTTTGTCGCATCCTGCACAGAATTCGTAGTGCAAATGCAATTCTATACAGAATTAAAGTATAAATGGATAAACGATGCCTCATTCTTGCTTTACGGATAAAAGCAATCATGGCCAACGTAAGCAAAAAACATGTGTGTGTTTGTATATTTTATCAAAATGAAGCCAAATGCTAATTCTTTGTGAATCTTGGACCGCAAATTTTTTTGCAAGTTATTATTGGATGTAACCTACTTGAAAACCTTGCCTTCGGCTTAGGGATGTTTTTGAACCCTCTCCCGTATAACCGTTCCTATGGAATCTGAGTCTTTATATAGTAATTATACCTTTAATTTTTAATATTTCAGTATGAAAAGTAGTTCGTTACAGTAAATT